ATGGCTACCCAAAGCTACAGGAAAAATTACATTACTACTATTATTGATGATGATGGAAATTCATATCAAAATCATGATCATAAGGCAGCAATTATTTGGAAATCCTACAAAGATAGATTGGGAAAATCCATTGATCCTCCTATGCTTTTCAACCTAGAAGAACTCATCCAACCACAAGATCATACAGAACTTGAGGCTCCTTTTTCTATGGATGAGATTGATCAGCTAAATAAAGATTTACCCACTGACAGAACCCCTAGCCCTGATGGTTTTAATGGCACCTTCTTGAGGAAAGTTGGGATATTATCAAGCAAGATATCTATACTATGATTTGGGATTTCTTTGAAGGAAACGGTGATATTCAAAGTATAAATACTGCTTTCATTACTCTCATACCAAAGATTTCAAATCCTGAAAATATGAATGATTTCAGACCTATATCCCTGGTCAGCCTTCCTCTTAAAATTATCACCAAACTTATGGCCAATAGAGCTCAGAAAATCTTCACCTCTGTTATTCATCAGAACCAATATGGATTTATCAAGGGGAGAAACATCCAAGACTGTCTGGGTTATGCTTTTGAATATCTCCACCTATGCCATCAGTCAAAAAAGCCTACCATCATACTCAAACTAGATTTTGAAAAGGCTTTTGACAAGATTGAATACAAGGCCATTATTGCTATGTTAAGGGCTAAAGGATTTGTACCTAGATGGATAAACTGGGTATCAAATATTCTACACTCTGCATCCACCTCTATTTTACTTAATGGAGTTCCTGGCAAGAATATTATTTGCAAAAGAGGAGTCAGACAAGGTGATCCACACTCCCCTCTGCTATATATAATTGTTGCAGACTTACTACAATCAATTGTAAATGCTTCTTGGTCTAATGGAGAGCTTTCTCTCCCCATCAATCATGCATATGGTTAAGACTACCCAATCATTCAATATGCAGATGACACCCTAATGATTATGCCAGCTAATGAAGATCAGCTTATCCACCTAAAATATCTACTCAACCTTTTCACTCTATCTACTGGTCTTTTTGTTAATTTTAGCAAATCCTCCATGATCCCCATTAACATTGACCACCAGTCAATTTCTATGCTAGCAAACACATTTGGATGCAAGGTTGAAAGACTTCCTTTTACATACTTAGGACTCCCCATGGGCACCACCAAACCTATTGTCCTATATCTTATTCCTGTCATATCCAAAATTGATAAGAGATTGTCTAGAGTGGCAAGATTCATGAATCATTCTGGCAGACTTACCTACATAAACTCTGTTGTTGCTTCTATGCCTGTATTTTCTATGTGCTCTCTTAAAGTTCATATCACCATATTGGATAACGTTGACAAATCAAGCAGAAATTTTCTCTGGTATGGAAATGAGATTAATAAAAGAGGCAAACATCTGGCCAGTTGGGATATGATATGCAAACCAAAACAACAAGGAGGTATTGGTGTCCTAAATCTAAGAGAGCAAAATAACGCCCTCCTTATTAAACACCTATACAAGTTCTACAATCAGATGGATGTTCCATGGGTCAAATTAATTTGGAAGGCTTACTACCAAAACAACGAAATACCACATTCCAACAACAAAGGTTCTTTTTGGTGGAAGGATTGCATGAAAATGTTTGAATTATTTAAAGATATGACTTCCTGTGAAGTTAAATTGGGAATTTTTACTATGCTATGAGAAGACAATTGGAATGGCTCTATTATGAAACTGAAGTTCCCTGAATTACACTCCTTCAATCAATAGGAGAATATACCTATTTGGACAGCCAAATGTTTGGAGAATTATTATAGCTTATTTCGACTACCACTATCCATTACTGCCCATCAACAGTTTCACCTGCTATCTGATCAATTAAATAACATCAGACAGAATAATGGTCATGACATCTGGAATTTCACTTGGGGCAGTTCTATAAACATGACCAAGAAGATCTATAACTTTCTAATGAAAAATGAAGATGATGTTGATCCATTCAAAAGGATATGGAAATCTTGTTGTTTACCAAAGCATAAATTCTTCTGCTAGCTAATGCTCAATGACAGAATAATACATGTGACCTATTGACTAGGAAGAGTACGCACCTTGATTCCACTAAACGTGTCTTATGCAATGTTGAAGATATGGAAGACATAACTCACCTTCTCTTTTCTTGCCCATTTAGTCAAGGGTTTTGGTGGAATATTGGTATTGAATGGAACACAGATATGAATATCCATGATATGATAATTGATGCTAAACAAAGATACCATCTTACTTCTTTCATGGAAATTATGATTGTGGGCAGCTGGTGCGTCTGGAATCAAAGAAATGGCCTGATATTTGAAGGAATTCCTTGCTCAATCACTGAATGCAGATATGATTTTATCAGAACTTTCAAGTTAACCATGCTGGGAGCCAAACCTAGTCTGAAGGATGGCATGTCATCCTGGATTGATAATATTTAATTTTTCCCTTTCATTTTCCTTCCCTTTTTATGCACTCCTAGACTATCTCTGGTTGTCCCCCCATCAACCATTGTAAGACAATGTTATGTTATTTCCTTATTAATGAAAAATGACACACAGTAGGGCTTTTGCCTTACTGTTTTATGGTAAAAAAACCTTAATATGCTTCTAAGACACATAGAATTTCTATTTGTAGGCATATAAGTTGCTAAGAGCTAAAATAGATGCTATTGAGAAAATGACATACCCAAAAGATATTAGATGTACATAAAGTTTTCTAAGTCATGCCGGTTTTATAGAAGTTTTGTTAAAAACTTTTCAAAAGTTTCTAGACCTCTTAGTAGTCTTTCATACAAACGTATCATTCTTATTTGACTATAACTATATATAAGCCTTTTTAAAACTTTAAAGAAGAATCTAATTATGTTCCTATTATTCTGCCACCTGGGTAAAATCTTTTACAAGTATGTGTGATGTTAGTGATTATACTGTAGGAACTATTTTTACACAAATAATTGATAATAACTTGAATATCAGTCACAAGATTATGGATAATGCAGGATTTAGGACTCACGTGTGCGCAAGTTTTCGTCCGAACTACTCAAGTCAGCCCAAGTGTACACCATTTTCTCTCTCTAATAGAAAGTGTATAACATCGTCGTTGGGGATCTCGTGTAGGGCTCGGCCTTTCACTTACAAATTATATATATATCGTCATCGAGATTGTAACACATCGGCCAGGCTATCGTGTAGGGTCGCGCTATTCGTCATCCTGGATTAGGAATAGTTATTCTTCACCCCCCTTTATTTTACCATCAATGCATCGTAATTTTACGTTTTGTAAGTTTTGTCTTATTTCCGACGCAAAAAGAGACCGTAAAAAATATATAATCACCGTAAAAAATATTTTATATTATGTAAAATTATAAACGTAAAAACATAGTCTAAAATACACATAAACTGCAAATTTTCTTATCTTATGATCTATATTTTAATTTTTTATGTCAAATTTTACATAGTGAATCAATAAAAAGGTAACTATTTGAATTCCAAACTTAATTTAATTATGAAATGATCGTAAGATTACCTCGGGTGAAGAATAACTTACTC